GTTGGAGGGGCCTATGGCGATAGGCAGTAATATTGGAAACTCACTTCCCAATGATGAGCTCTGATTTCCCCCAGAAATGTTTTTATAGACACCTTCTTCTTAATAATGTAAATGTAAAAGGGCTTTCATCAGTGCACAACAGGCTCATTACCATTGTGTTACATCATTTGGCGATACATAAAGGTTTCAACTTGCAAGAGTAAATATTGGTGTTGATGCCAGTTGGTCTTGTACAACAAACCCACGGACCTTGTTTATTTTAATTTTAGAAAGACCAAAGAAAGAAATGCCAAATGAGAGATTGCATTGAGCTAAAGGAGCAAGTGAAGCATGACTCACGTAGGTTTTTGATCAACCCTATCTATCTGCTTATTTTTTAATCAAGGCAACTATGTATTAACATGTCATTATATATGTATATTTTGTTTGTATTGTGTTGTGAGATTTACTTTTCCTCTATTTTCACTAGTAACTTGTATATCAGATTGCTTTTTTTAGCAGACACTAAAGAGTAGCAGGCACAGGTGTCTTAATGACTTTAATTAGGGCTGCATTCCATTCAGGTGCTTCAGCTCCTTTTCCCTACTACTGCAGGTGCTGGCATACAGGAACAGCTCGTTAGTGCAATTAGCTTCAGCTGTGCTTCCTATATGTCACAGTATGACGTTATTCACAATTGTTTTGGCATGTCTGCAGATTATCGTCATTAATAACCCACTGTGTTAGATATTCTGCCAACACAAACTCCCTTTTTTATCTGAGTTGAGGTTCCTTTCCATCAACACTACCATTCATGTGTTGAATTTGATTTACTTTAGGCTGGGTGTTTTTTTAATTTTTAATTTGTAGTGGGTTTGGTCAAGTTACTTTATCTTGGGTCCTCACTAACACTAAGAAAGTGGATCACATCACTCCTGTTCTGAAGTCTTTACACTGGCTTCCTGTGTGTCAAAGAATAGATTTCAAAATACTGCTGCTGGTTTATAAAGCACTGAATGGTTTAGGCCCAAAATACATTTCTGACCTCCTGCTAAATTATGAACCATCCAGATCTCTCAGGTCTTCAGGGACTGGTCAGCTTTCTGTCCCCAGAGTCAGAACTAAACATGGAGAAGCAGCGTTCAGTTATTATGCTCCAAATATCTGGAATAAACTCCCAGAAACCTGCAGGTCCGCTACAACTCTTACTACTTTTAAATCCAGGCTGAAGACTTTTCTTTTTGTCGCTGCTTTTAATTGAACTATTCATATCTTAGACTGCACTGTAACTTTTATCCATGTACTTTTTTTTCTTCTTTTAATGTTTAATTGCACTGTAACTTTTATCCATGTATTTTTTCTTTTAATGTTTATTTTTATTAGCTTTTCTTTTTAATGACTGATTTTAAATGCCATTTTCTTAATCTCTTTCATTTTTTGTAAAGCACTTTGAATTGCCTTGTGTTGAAAAGTGCTATATAAATAAACTTGCCTTGCCTTGCCTTGCCTTGCCTTGGGTTGCTCCCATTTGGACATTTCCACTGAATATTAAACCTTTTTTATGCATTTATTTGGACCATACTGTATACTTGTTAATTTGTTGGCATACTTTTAATTACAGCATGTGGTGTTTAACTGACCCGTGAGACTGGGAGGCATGTTCTGTGCTGTGAGTTAGCCAATAGTTTAATTGTTATTGTGAAAGTAAATATACTATAGATCAGATTATGTCATGCAGAATTCTGGCTAGTGCTACTGTGTTTTCAAGTGAACCTCCCCATTTACATAAAGGATGTTGGATACAAATTCTATGCATTTATTTGTTTCTCTATTTACATTTTTTTGTATTGCTTAACATATTTGTGAGCCTACCATTTCCACGACTTATGTCAAGGGTTCATTGAAAGTATTTCCTTCATAATGCGGTGGAGGCCATTAGTGGTGCCAGATAAACTTTAGAACATAATTGTATTTTGTTTTATGCGTATATCCCTCTTTTCCATCTCCATCTCTTCACTCTACTGTACTCGGCCTATAACTTAAGAATCTTTTGTTAATGGTATTGTGTTTCCTTTTGGCAGTCATGAAGTTTGGATTCAAAAACTGTTAATGACGTTTGGCTGAGCCTGCACACTATGATCTTATATTATCCTCTTTTCTCTTAAACTGTTAAAGCAGTTTGGTTACACTACGAGTCCAACCATTGGGATTAAATTGGTTTCTCGAAAGCAACTCTTGGCCAGGTTTATCAAATGATTTGGACTGATGTCAGCGGATATAATATAGTAGACTCCAAGAGTAATTGTCTTCTGCATAAGGAAATAGAGCAGTTCTTTTTATCTCTTGATTCCTACACTTGGTTTCCTAAAGTAGGGCTTTCTTTTCTCAGTCTCATTTGTGCTAACTTTACTTAAAACACGTTCACGACATTAAAAACCCTCCAAGATTCCTGCTTATGGTCCAGTATCCCTAGGTCATTCTGTACCAGTGTCACATGGACAGCATATGATGTGACACCTTTCCTCTTGTTCTCAGAAATGTAATAAGCACTCCATCTTTCCCAAAGGTTAGAAATTAAATGGCAAAAACAGCAGGGGCCATAGTGCATTTGTGTGTATACCCTCCTCAATATATTACAAATGTCTTCCACTTAGGCCTATTTCAACCAGGGGCCTGATATAGTTTTGATACAAGAGACAAGTGAGGAAAAGGAGAGGGTGGGTTAAGGAGGGTAAATGGTTGGTGTTTGACAGGAGGCCTCTCTAAATCCCACACTCATCCATCATAAGTGGCATTTGCGCACTCTGAAGGCCTGATAATAGCCTTTTGCATTTTCACACTGTGCTTTTCCTTCTGGATTTGATCGGGGAGCGAGAGAAAGATGGGGGGGGAGGTGTGTGATGGCAGGGGACACATATAATGCAGTTTCATTCATTCTATTCTTTTTTTTCCAACTCCTCATCATCTAACCCTGGGTACTTCAAGTCTGCTTCCCTTCTACATTTTGGGGGGAAATCACTCTTTGAATTGGAAAAAGGACCCTGGGGCCACAAGCACAGAGTCCATGTTTCGTTTTTTTTTTCTCAGGATAATTGACTTTGGTTGCCTGGTAATTCATCGCTTGCATATGCCAGCTAATTCATCAAGAGAAGAGAAGCTGCCGACCTCACAACCTTGCGTGCCCCACCGCCCCCACATGCCCCAAACATGCACACACAATTCATGTCTTAACACCTCTCACATTTCAACCTCACATTGCTAAATCGCATATATTCATGCACACATACAAACACACACATCCCCCCCCCCCCCCCCCCCTGCTGCCCCAGAAGAGCCAGGAGCTTGGAATGAGAGGAGGGAGCAAGCGGCAAGTTATCGGACGGAAAAGCTGAGATGATAGATGGGGCGCATTGTGGCATTATGAATGAATTATACCTCCCAAATACCTTGAGCAGTGCAGACTGTCAGCCTGTATCTATACTAAGCTGGGAGAAAATATAGCCGTTTCCACATTAAAGGGGGCTGGCAAAGAACGGGCCGCAGAATTAATTGAGCAATCAGGCCATTAGAAAGAAACATCATACAGAGCGTGGTTTCTGATGTAGCAACATTTATCACTGCTGAACACAAATCTGCTTCCACTCTTGTATGTTTTGTTTTTTTCTTACTTTCTCTCTGGTAATGTGGCCCACATCTTCAAACAGATTAGGATTATTGTGACAAGACAAAGGTATCTTTTGTCTTTTTCCGTAGCCGTGTCAGTGCCTGCTGCATTTATCACGGTTGTCACACAGTCTTAAATCTTTCAGCTTACACACCTTGTCCCATTTTTCTCCCAGCGGTTGGTCCGTGTTAAATTTGCAAAGAAAAGTACGTTATTGGAAAGTGTCCCTTGATAATTTGTAGACCTGTCGGATACAAGTGCATCTGTTTGAATTTGTATTGTATACTTCAGTTTTATTTTTATCAGTTGGATCTTAACAAAATGTGAGTCCGTTTTTCAGTTGCTGTGACATTTTAGCCCAGTTTGGTAGATGATGGTTTTATAGATGCTCAGTGATATTTAAAAGTATGATATCAATGTCAACAACCAGATAAAGAGGAGAGGAAATTAAAGAATATTCAATGTAAAATAACTATAGTAGGCTCAACTTTGTGTATTTACCTTAAAGTTAATTAATTTGCACTTTGTTCACATAACAGATAAATGTTGCATTTGTATTCAATTATAAAGCAATGTTTCACTTTTTTCCCCATCATTATTAATAACTTTTTTGAATTATGGGAAACTAAATTGAGGTGCATCAGTTGTTTATAACAATGAGAATAATAATAATTTAGTATTGCATATAGATTAATGCCAGATGACAGCGAGATGCAGTCGATGCAGACATATATATATTTTTGTATTATTATTTTGTACATACCAACACTATCCCAATCTCCTGGGAAATGTAAATGATGCCGTGACATCATCCTTGTTGTATCATGCATTCTGTGGTATGTCAAAATAATGCAAAGCGCAAGATGTGTGTTGGTTTTTCTTCAGTTTAGGTCTTTAGGCTTCTTCTTTTTTCCCTCACAGTGAAAACAAACTGTCCAGCAACATGTTTGGTTATCATGCACCCTTATTCAAAAATAAACCAACACACTGAAATGGAGATCTTTGATGATAATGTACATAGTATGAAGGAAGTTCTCCAAACTACTCAGACTGGATGGGACAGTGGATTTGTGATTTAATATCTAACATCTATCCCCCTCTGCTGGACACACTTGAGAACCGTGCCAGGCTGTCAATGATTGTAGATGTTGTTGAACACATGTAATGTAACTTAATTTTGACCCGCAGTGAACATAAAGGTGATACTGTACTTTGCCATCGTTGGAACAAAAAATATGTCAATGTTGATTCTAGCAAATACATATGAACAAGTACAAACAAACATTTAGCCACAAAATTGTACAAATTATTCAGAACAAATTGAGGTAGAGATTTCCTTGATTTAGTTTGTAACTGTTTAATATGAGAGCATCAAATCTCCGATGTCTATGCTATGTTCTGGTTCTGGATGCAGATCGAACGCTGGAGTGCATAACGTTTTCAGTCTCTAAAAAAAAAAAGAATTGCATGGGAAACATATACATCAAAGCATAAACCATAAGATAACAGTAGCCCACTAAAATCCACAAATGTGGCTTGTGTAATGGTTCAAATTGTGGTCAGTCCCTTCACATAGAACATATGTAACAACGTATTGACAAAGTATAGAAATAAACTAAAAGGAACATAAAGTTTTGTTTAAAGGATCTTCAGAAGGAAAGGTTTGGATATAGATATATGTAGCTTTCAGGTATGTACATATTCAACAAATTGTTACACTTGTTAAACTTAAATAATACAATGCTAATTTCCTTTATTGAAGCTGGGTTGACACACTAACCTGTCTCAGTGTTCCCGGGGTTACAGCCATACGATAGATAATCCACAGAGGAGTCAGGAGAACTGAAGACAAAGCAAGAACCATCCCAATGGCAAAGCCCCACCAAGGGTACTCGTAGGTGTTGTTGTATTTCAGCGGGGTGAACTTGACCAGAGAGAATATCAGTGTTCCCTGTCACAAAACAAGTGGAATAAATGGATATATAAATATATTTATGTTATTGTCATTGTGATATTTTTCCGGTGAATGTCTTAAATTTGTCTTTACGACTAACAGATACAACAATAGTCAATACATTTACTTACAACACAGAGACATGGTGTGATGAACTTCCAACAATATTTCATAAGCGATGAGGGGTAGTAGCCAATCATTTCCTTTATATTGTCATAATAACGATCAGCACCTTGTAGTCTGTGAAGCTGACAATTGAGCGGCCCGACCAAGCAAGGAGGCAGAGGCAGAACGTCCACAAATACAACCCGTTGTGGGCATTTATTAAAACATGAACACATTACACACAGCCTCAATCCTGCTGCTGCTGTTCACGTGAGCCCAGCCTGCAGCCACCAGGATCTCACACACACTCCCTGCCCCTAACAGACAGGGAAACAGAGCCTAAATACCCACACACACTAATCAGCAACTAGACACAGGTGAGGGGGGAGGAGACAACACCGGGCACCAGGTGCACACAATCCAGCAACAGACATAACGGGAGGGGGAACACTTTTCAAACACAAACATATAACTGAACAAAAGTACACACATACAAACCCAACTAAACGCAGTCAGCACTTGTACAATTAATGCCACTTGACGCTATGATGTATACACCCCCACATATTATTTGCACCCGGATTATTCTTAACCGCTGTCATTCTACCCCAGCATAAGCACTTTCGGAGCTCTCGCTAACTCCCCTATCTTGTCAGGCGGAGCCGAGGACCCGACCAGCTCCTGCCAGATGACATTTCAATTAATACGGTTTAATCCTTTAATAAATACTATCTCAATAATTAGTATAAATTATATAAAATGTGCAAATATGCCATGCCAAACGGTACTGTGCAATCACGCTAATAAAGTGCAAAACTGTTCACTAAAGTGCTGAGTTACCAGGCCCGAAGCCACATAGTCAGGGAGTCATTCAAGAATATGATCAAACACTGGGATTCATCTACATTACGATATAAAAGGGCAAGGTCTGATGCCTGGCCACGTGCTCATAAGGAAAAGGGGGCAGAATTTCAGCACTACTAGAGACCATTACATTCCTGAGAACAGTCTCAAGTCTTTCTTCTTTTGATCCAAGAGGAATGAAAGCTAAGTTAATGTGTAAGATAGTACTGGCCTCACAGATAGGCGGGAAATGTTCTGCCCTCCAGGCAGTTGTTCAAATGTTTTAATGGCTTTAGCAGTGCCCTCAGGTTCAATGTTGTATTGCATTAGTATGAAAAGTATACTAAAAGTAGAACCACATGTTTCAGTTGAAACAGAGATCTCAACAGATCAACATAATGTTCTCTTAATCTGTTGCAATCCTGTGAATTCATCCTTCGTAAGCATTGCCTGTAAGTAACTTGTTGTTGTTTGCAAGGTTATCGTCCAGTTTTAAAGAGTATTTGTCAGCAGTGGGTTGTTTCTTTTATGATTGACTGGTACAGTATTGGTAGTTGGGAACACATTATAATGTAACAAGTACAACATGCCTTGGTTTTATTAATTAACTGTTGTTGTTGCTAAATGTTCAGCAAGAGTCTGCATTAAACATAGAGCTAGAAAGTTACACCTTGACTCTTGAGGTCATTTGGCTTGCTGTTCAATTTAGGCAAGATAACAGCATTAAGAGGACATTTCATGCTTATGCTGAAACACCCTTCAGTGTTTATCAAACAGCTTAATAATCATAGTAATTATAATTTCCATTGATTTGAAATAGTGTACAGTATCACTGTTATTCATAATGGCATAACTTTAGGGGGTAACATTACTTCACATAAATATATGTCAGTTCTTCTTCTGATTTTCCTTGCTTAAAATGATCTTGTTGCTTACCATATATCCATCCCACACAGACGCACTCCAAAATGGCAAAAATCATGAATGGTATTCCACTGCAAGCATAGTAATCAAACAGCAGACATACATAAAGTCCTCCCTACAGCACATGACAGAGAAGACAGAAACAGGAACACAAAAGAGATTGTTTTGTTAAATGCACAACATATTTGGCACGGAAAGAGAGACTTAATGGTGCTGTCTTTTACTCTTAATGTCATAGATTAAAAAAGTAGACTCTCACCTCAGTCAACATAAACAGGCCAATAACAAAGGAAACGCCACACATGATCAGCAGAAGTAGTTTACGTCGATGACCAATGAGAAAGAGGGATGGAAACATGTCTGATATGGCTGTCACCAGGCCTTCCAGACACACAAACTGTGGGTAAAAGATAAACGTCACATTTACATTTTCTACACTGATTATAACAATTAGGTTTCTAGCCATTCTCAGGTCTTAATTCTTTGGGAAGTGTTTTAGTCTTTCTGAATATTACCCTCATCCAAGGCAGTGCATATTCTGTCCAAGCATTTACTGCAACTCAAGCCTGATTGTTTATGTCTTTTATGTATTTGGTAACTTAGTTCATGCAGGGATTTGATTATAATTAAAGTATCAGCTGGGCTTATAACCGAAAGTTATACAATTCTGATGTACAGTATATTTTGAATACAACTGAATGTGAAAACTTTACCTCACTGTCCAGTCCAAGGAGGATAGTCATGATGAAGAAGAAGACAGCCCAGAGTTGAGGTAAAGGCATCATGGATACAGCCCGAGGGTAAGCAATGAATGCCAGGCCAGGACCTGCAAGTAGATGGCTTAGGAATTAGTACATGTATCATCTCTATATAGCAGCAGATTTGAAGGCAGGCATTAGACCAGAACCTGTTTAGTTTGTGTCTAGTGATGAGTTATTCAAACTCAAAATTGTTTAATTCTGGCCCCGTGTACACCAGCTGGTATTCAGTAGGTTGCAATCTGCAATCTGACCACGAGATGGCACTATCCTACACACTGGTCCTAAAGAAGGTGATCATATTTCAGAGTTGTGTTTACAGCAAGTTTCTGCTGCCACCAATTGCTAAAAATATCGGGTGCTGCAGGATTTGCATTTATTTTATCATGGATTCTGTTTAGGAATTAAGGAATACATTTAGTAAGTAGAGGGCCCTCATAACTGTACAGGTACAATGATTATAATGTGTCCTTGTAAATCATAATTCCAAGAACCCTGCAGCACACATTGATGTGAAATCTGGGGACCATAATCCAAGTGTTTCTTCTCACATGTTATTGTGAGACTTGAGTTTGTAAAGTCATGTATTATATTTCCTTGTTTACATCTGAAAAAAACAAAACATTTTATTCATAATTTTATATTTTTCATAGGAACACAACAAAGCTAATATACACCACAATGTTTTCCAAAAACCATCCCATACCTGATTCAGCTACTGTTGAGATGTCAACACCCAATTCATGTGACATGAAGCCAAGAACAGGGAAGACTGCAAAGCCAGCAACAAAGCTGGTTAAACCGTTCAGTGCGCACAAGGTGAAAGTGTCTCTGGAAATTAAAAAGGACGATTATGTATTTTATCCTGCATAAAATCAACCTTTTAATGCAGAAAATGTACATAGAATATAATGTTTTCCTTACTTGTAGCAGTTGTTGTATTTGCTGTAGCTTCCCATCGCTTGCAAACTGCCTTCGCAAATGCATAACGAGATTCATATCTGGCTCCCAGCATCCATCCACACCTTAAATCAGTTAAATAAGCAGTTAACCAGTTATCCATTAAATATTGATTTATATGATGTTTATAATTGTATAATATATATAACTATATTATACTATTTACCCATTACAAATTCTACCTCTGTCCCTCTCTTAAGCCAAACTTCCACTTCCGTGCAATTCTTAGAAACTCTCTAACACGTACCATTTTCCATCTTTCCTCCAGATGTCCTCAGACTTTCCCACAGGTCCCATCTGACTCCTACATCCTCTTGCTCACATGTTCCTCTTTCCCTATTACTCCCAATAGTATTTCCACCTTCTCATTGGCAGATCATCAATTTTGCTTTGTGCCTCTGGTAGACCTGAACCCTAAATTGTACCTGCTAACATGACACATTCCTGTTAATGTGTGATTGCTCAATTCTCAGCCTCTGGGCCCTGACTGCAAATACCCTGTTCCCTTTAGTTTTCAGCTGAGCCTTTATAATTGACAAAAACACTTCTGCTACTTGATCTCAGGATACAGCATGTAATCTTAGTTTTCATGTAAAATCTTGACGTCTTAGTATCAGCAATATTCAAAAAAGTCCTGTGAACCGTTGAGCGGCCCGACCAAGCAAGGAGGCAGAGGCAGAGAATTCAAATATAACCCGGTGTGGGCATTTATTCATCGCTGTGTTACAGGATACACAGCCTCAATATTGCTGCCCAGGTGAACACAGTCACCAGCCACAAGGATCTCACCCACACTACCAGCCTTCACCAAACAGGAAACACAGAGCCTAAATATACACCCACTAATCAGCAATTAGACACAGGTGAGGGGGGAGGAGACAACACAGGGCACCAGGTGAACATAATCAGGAGTAACAGAAAGAACGGGAGGGGGAACACTTTTCAAAATAAAAGACATGTGCAATATACAAAGCCCGAAGCCGTCAGTCCACAGTGACGAAGCCATCTTCGTCACATTTCCTCCTTCCTCTCCCGAAAGAGAACAGTACCTTATTCCTGCGACACTTATTGATCTTGGCCATTTTGCTCTCCTCCATGTGTCTCCACTCCGCCCGGTGTTTCTGCTTCCCCTTGTGCCGCATGGTTTCCTCAGAGGAGGGCGTGAAGTCGGAAGGAAGCTTCCCTTTCTTCCTCAACTCTTTCTCCCGCTCCTTCGCGAAGGCCTCCGTCAGGTTCTCCACGTACGCAGCCTTCTCCGCCTGCAGCGTCTTCATCACCTGCTTCTCCACCTGAGTCTGAGCGGCTGACAGGGCCTCTGCATGAGCCCTTATCTCCTCCAGCTGTTGCTGCATGACGCGCTCTCTCTCCCGACGGATCCCCTCAGCCATTTTCACCCGCTCCTCCTCCGCTAGAAAAGTATCTTCCTCGTCTTTAATTTTCTTCTCCTCTGCAAGTTTCTTCTCCTGCAGGTTTATCAGACGAGCCTCCTCCACTAAGCACATCTCCTCTTCCTTTCTCAGCATCTCCTCTTCCTGCCTCTGCAACCTGAGCTGCTCCTCTTTCTCTTCCATCAGGGAAACCTGTTCCTGTATCCGTGGAAACGACACTCCTCCCGCTTGAATCTGGCTGTCTCATACTGCAGGAATGACTTCATCATCTCCCTCAGTTCCTCCATCGTTTTCACCTCCTCACTTGGTCAATCCCACTTCTGACACCAAATGTGAAACTGACCGTTGAGCGGCCCGACCAAGCAAGGAGGTAGAGGCAGAGAATTCAAATATAACCCGGTGTGGGCATTTATTCATCGCTGTGGTACAGGATACACAGCCTCAATATTGCTGCCCAGGTGAACACAGTCACCAGCCACAAGGATCTCACCCACACTACCAGCCTTCACCAAACAGGAAACACAGAGCCTAAATACACACCCACTAATCAGCAATTAGACACAGGTGAGGGGGGAGGAGACAACACAGGGCACCAGGTGAACATAATCAGGAGTAACAGAAAGAACGGGAGGGGGAACACTTTTCAAAATAAAAGACATGTGCAATATACAAAGCCCGAAGCCGTCAGTCCACAGTGACGAAGCCATCTTCGTCACAAGTCCCATCCAGTCAATCAATATATTTTGAGTTCAGGATCTCCACTGAGATTATTTAATGTTTAAAATGTTTCCAAGTCCACTTGTTTGGCCTGTGTGCGATTTGATACTTTAAAAACATTCAACCAATTATGTCACAGCGAGGGTAAGGATGCAGGACAAAAACATTGGATATAGGAATATAAACAAAAAGCGAGCTTTTATTCAGGCGGATGGCCGGAGAAGGTGGTTTCGGGCGGACGGCCCGGGGGAAAGGCTGAGAAGCGGGTCTCGGGCGGACAGCCTGGGGGCAAGGCAGAGGCAGAGAAGGGGGTCTAATCGTGGCGGGGAAACTCTGGGGGCTGGGCAAAAGGGCGGCCATGCCCGCTTTGGGGAAACTCAAAATGCGAAGGCCGCGGCAGGCAAACTTTGGGGGCGGCTTGGAGGGCGGCGGGACCACTCTAGAGGACGGCCTGGAGCACGTTGGTACCTATCTTGAGGATGGCGGGGAAACCTTCCTGGGGGATGCAGGGACAGCCTCGGGAGCAGAGAGGAAACAAGAGCCGAGCAGCCTCAAGAGCAGAGAGGGGGCAGGAGTCGACCAGGGTGCCGACTGGATTGGAGAGGCAGCGGGATCCAGCGTCTGCAGGAACCCTGACACAACAGGAGGGGCAGAGGGAGCCGGCATCTGGGGGACCCCTGACAGAACGGAACCCAGACGGTTCCTCTTCAAAAAGTACTGTTGAGTCCATTGTGGTAAGTTCATACTGGTGAGGGTAAGGATGCAGGACCCAAATGCAGTACAACAACAGGGGAGGTGGATATAGGAATATAGACTTAAATCAAGCTTTTATTACATTATAAGCTAGTACAAAACAAACACACAAACTGCAGGAGCAGGCGATGTTGAACAAAAGGAAAACTAGAACAAACCAGGAACACGTAAGAGAAACAGGAGGGCAGATGAGGGAGATCCAGAACATGAGGCAAGAGATCAGGAACCCTGCCCAGGGACCAACGACGACAAACTCACAGAGAGCACTAGCAATTGCAAGGTCCGTCTTTGATGCACCAAATCTCATCTGAGATTTGATATCAGCCCCATGTTCAACCATGCCCACAAACTGTAGCAGACTTGATGGAATGGCCTCCTCAATATCCCTCATGAAAAGTCCCATCAAATGTGGATCTGTGGTTAAGCATTTGCCTTCGCAATATTTTGGCTGCCTTACCAACGAAGATTGCATCACTGTAATCAGAGGCTTGTGATAATTCTAAGCCGACATTGTTATTGAAAGCCAGAAGTACATCCCTACCCTGCTTGTGAGCTTCCAGTTCTGGTATTTCAGCAAGCAGCATGTCCTTTAGTCTGGTGGAATTTACCTCAGGTACCTCAACCCCTAGCTACTGTAACCGTTGCCGGGGAAGTTTAACCATGACTGCAAGTCGAAAGTGTGAAGTAAAAACTTATTTGCAGCAATGTTGAGCCAATCATGAAATGAGGGAAACTGGATTCGCCTTAGTCAATACACTGATATTTATTGAGAGACAAAACGGCCGGAAGATTAACAAAGCAACTCGCACTGTTGAAATGCAAGCTGCCAAAATTAACTCTAAACACAAAAGACAGAAACATCTCTATATATCTTTCAAAGGAGGGGTCTAAACAGCCCGCCCTTTCCCCTAATCATTACCAGACACCAAGGACAAAGACTGCATATATTGCCCCTCCTTAAGTGCCCCAAGCCCCTCACCCACACAGAGAAAGAGTAGTCACTCATGTGAAGTTTCTCAGGTCAGCTAAGCATCAGACTAAAATATTCCTTTACAGAAAGACTGCAGGACCTTCTGTGCTTGATTTTGTCTCCACTAAGTAAAATATTAGTTTAGAAAATGCTAGTTGGTAGGCATTCTGTCCTGGTGTCTGTTCCCGTTCCTTTCTTTGGATTGTTCTGCTATAGGTTCTCTCTCTGTTGTACAGGTCTGCTAAGCATTCAACATGGTACCTACATTCCAGAGATGTTCACAAGTCTTTTTTTGCAAGTCCAAGTCAAGTCTCAAGTCTTTGGTCACGAGTCCAAGTCAAGTCTCAAGTCTTTGTGGGGTGAGACTTGATCAAGTCTCAAGTCTTTGGTCACGAGTCCAAGTCAAGTCTCAAGTCTCTAAAAAATAAAAATCTCATGTCTCTTCTGGTTGTAATAAGCCTTATATTGTCTGCTGCTATCCAGTCTGTTAAGAATACTGCACAGCTATATCTAAGAAATTCAAAGCATTTACTGTATTATTATCACTCCTATATCTATTAGCATACAGTATCAGTACTGATTAGTTGTTTGTTATATGATCACTTTAAACAGGCTATTGCAATGCAATATGAGGAAAACATCTCACTTTAGCTAAATGCAAACAACTTATAAGCAAAACACTTCAGAATCAGAAATCAGTATCACAAATACTTTATTAATCCCCCGCAGGGAAACTGTGTTAAAAGTACTTAAAAGTAAACATTTGTTCTGTGCCATTTGCAACTAAAAAACTATTGCTGCAATATTATCTGAAATATACTGAACTGGTGATATTAAAACATGACCTGTTCCAAAAGAGATATCTACCATTAACACCATTTACCAGCCAAATGCTGGTAAATCATGCAAGTGGCTGGTACTGTATGTTGCACGCACCAGCTAAAAATAACAATGGCAATCTATTGAGTGGCTGGTAAAATGTCAACATTCACTAGGCTAGCCATTTGGCCAGTGGACAAAAATGTTAAAATGTGACCTCTGCAACCGTATTGTTTAATTACACTGGGTCTCTAATTACATCTTTTAAGTCTACTATAAATAAACATATTCCTCTATCCTCTCACTCAAACCTAGTGTAATGGTAACCTGATAAACCTGTAACATTAACGTTACGTGGTCAACAATAAACCTGTAACCTGCCTATAAACCGACAGAT